GATAGGCCCATCCGATACAAATATCTTGGCAGTGCCAACTCTTCAAGCAGTACCAGAAGGTAACTGGTTCTGTGACACATGTATTTTATCTACTGGTAATGAGTTTGGGTTTGGAGAAGGACAAGAATATAATCTTGCTAATTTTCAATTATGTGCTGATAATTCTAAGGAAAAATGGATAGAATCACATCCTATACCAACAAGCAGAAGAAATGCATTTTTTTTCCCTTCACATCTTGTCCTCTAAAGCTCAGAAAATGGCCCAGATCATTTTTAAGGGTGCCTCAGCTGGCCACCCTCACTGACTTCAACTACAGTGGGATGTTGGAGAGAATCCCCAAGAGACATCTAAAAACAGTGAATTGAATTACTAGCCCAAGTGAATGCCCCCACAGACAGAGGTGTTGAAGTCTCCTCTATCAGTTCCTTGTCTTCCTACTTCTCTGAGAGACTAAAAGCTTACCTGGCCCAAGTGAATGCCCCCACAGATGGAGGTGTTGAAGTCTCAAGGGCTAGGAGCACAGACCATCTGTCCCCAGCTAGATATGTGCTGTACACTATCCCCTATGCTTGTAACCTGTAAGGCCTACAGCCTTACATCATTACAAATGCACCAATCTGGATGAATTTGACTGTAGTTAACCACCCAACTGGTCATGGTTTATGTACAAATGAGTTTAAAGAAGGGGGTGAATGATGTCTAGATCCATTTCTGGAACCAACTTGTGATGATGTAGATATATGAGGTTTGGTGTTGGATGAAGACAATTGCTCCCTAGGATTTGGTTGAGGTTGAACTGAGCAAGGAGGAGTTGGTGCAGAAGGCCTAATTGGATGTCTGAGAGTCACAGGCATAGGAGAAGAGGGATACAGTTTATGTCACAGTTGATTTTCACATGGTTCCTGCCCCTGTGCCATCCAATTCATCTTCTTCAGATCATCCATGAGTTGCATGTGAAGTGTATGGTTGTGTAGGTCATAGTTTGCTTGAGTGTAGTTCACCATCAATGTCCCAAATGTTGGGTCCAGACAATTTTGTTCAACTGTTGTAAGCACTGCCAAGATATTTGTATTGGATGGGCCTATCCGATGTTCTATCACCCCGAGATATGCGATGCAGTGTCAGTAGGATTAGGTGCGATGGAATTACATTGCAATATGGTGTCGGAGCATTAGATACCAATAGTAATTCCATTGCACCTAATCCTACTGACACTGCATCGCATATCTTGGGGTGATAGAACATCGGATAGGCCCATCCGATACAAATATCTTGGCAGTGCTGCATCCTTGCCTTGTGAAGTTTTAGCAAGAGCTGGCTATGGCAGGTAGATCCCATCAGCCAGATAATAGCCTTGATGATAGATATTACCCATGATTTCAAAAACCAGCCCATCTCCAGTCCCTGGATTCATTCAAGGAATAACTCAGTCCACATTCATAGGCATAGGTGAGTAAACAAAGTAAAGAAACAGTTTACCATTGAGGAAATCATTAAACAAGGGACTCATGTCCAAAATATTGATGTCATTGAGTGACCCCAGTGCACCAAAAAAAGCATGCCATAATCTTAGATTTTTTGAGGCTACAGTTTCTAGGATCACAGTTGGAGCCTGTTCCTTTCCCTTATATTGAAGTGTCTAGGAAGAATTAGAACACCAGGGTTGAGGGGATTGATAGGTTTTTGACAGGGATCTGATAGGGGTATAATGACATGTATAAGTGCTCTAGCCCAACTTCTGCCTACAAGATTTTATGCTGACCTGGTAAGGACCAGATTATTGGAGATAAATGGGGCAAAAGTGGGTGAGCAGAGTGGCTAGATGACCTATGGATGAAACAGTGAAATTTAAGCTACAAAAGGGGACAAGGTTGTGGGGGAATTTATTTGTCAACATTGATAGTGGAAATGGATAGAAGCAAACAGATTGAGAAGAAAGAAGAAAAGGTAGAGAAAAAATAAAAAGGTAAGAAATTGGGGGAAAAAACTCACTTTCTCTTTCCAAAGATGGGGAAAGAGAAAGTGAGTGTGGAATTGGGCTATGTGAGTCTATATACATTTTTAGTTGTTCCATTTGAAGCACTTTGGGCTGGATTTCATCTGTACATTTGTGTGTGGCACTATTGCTTGGACCTCTTTTGGGTAGAACAGATTCTACTCCCTTTGAGTGTGAGGCTGGTCATTTCTCTTTCCTGTACCACATAGTCAGGTTGGTTTCTTATACACAATTTGTCAACTGGATACCAACATGTATTGACCAGCCCATCCACCTGGGCAATTCTTCCACTTCCAATGTATACCATCAAGAAAACCTTTACAACCAGGAACGCCGCAAACTTCATACTCCTTTGTGATGGTATGTAGCTCTTCTTTATTTGGAGGCCAAAGGAAGTCTTTCCCATATGACTGGATGATGCCTGAAATAAATTTCTTCAAAACCAAAACAGCAGTTGATTCCCCAATCTTGACATATTCATCAATAGCATCAGCAGGGATTATGTATGCAAGCTGACATAAAGCTGCAGTCATCTTTTGATTTGTTGAAAGATCCAACTTTCCACAGAAATCCTATTTCAACACAAGCAGTACCATGAATATCAAGTCATAAAGTTTTGTTTTTCCATCACAAGGTGCATGATGACAGACTCACCTTCCTTTGAACTTAATACATATCATGCTTCTGCAAGTCTGCCTCTATCTTCACAAAGAGAGATTTGCTGATCTGAAAATGTCATTCAAACTTCTCATCAGGATAGATTGCATTTGGTGTGAAATATCTAAATAAAGTTGGTGATCTGATTGCTCTTGAGGTTGGTTCACATACCTACATTTGCATTGGTGGGGTTCTTCTTCCTGGTTCCTAAGCATTACATTCCACAGATGGTCCCAATCAGGATCATCATTCTCAAAAAGATACTGTGAGCATCAAAGGTGTTGTTGAAGCATATTTAAGGGGAGCATCTGGTACAGATGCCCAAACTTGGTGTAGTGGACAGTTCACCACAAATGTGGAACATAATGTGTAACACCAAAGTTACACTAGTGAGGGTTTAGTGATCACAAGTGTGAAAAACTAGGTTTTACCAGCTGGTGACTCCTAGTGTAGCACTACATACTTAATGTAAATTTGGTGCAAAGTTAGTGCAATGACTGAAGATGCCCTTGTTGTGACCTGAGGGTCCCATGGTGTGAACCATACCCTATGAGGACATAGGGTAACACCTGAGAGGACTGGTCAGGTAGCCTAGTGGTTAAGGCAGCCCATGTGTGTTGGCTCCAGATTGATTGGATCTGGTTGCTGATTCAAATCCAGCCCCGACCATCTTTTGGACTACAATAGCCCTAAGACTATGGTAGAGTAGGTGGATATAAGACAACTCTAAAAACGAAAGAAACTTAAATTTAGTTCAGTACAGTACAGTACTACTAACCTCAACCATTCTGTTCATAAAACATTATATTTAAATCAATTAATTACCATAACAAAAAATCCATTGGTAGACTTGTTGTGAATATCAATTAGCATATTCTAAAACACAAGGTACACAAGAACCCAAACTGTACCAGAGCTTTAAATTTTATCGACTGGTGCTATACTTGCCGATGGTAATTTTAACCTTGGCTGTTAACTCTTTACTCCATCCTTTTCTGTCATACATATATCCAACATAATTAACCCATTCAACATGGAGCCGATCACAAGAGTTATCCACGATAGGAACAATCAGTGAGGTTATCTACAGGCAAGGCTTAAAGCTAGGAATATTGCGGCACAGCAAAAGCATGAGGGGATATGCTGTTCTAATACCGTCGCACTGGGTGAATGGTGCACGAGACCAGAGGCATGGCTGAGTTCAATTGCTCAAGACAATGAAGCGTAGCATAGGGCCGGACATCAGAATCCCAACACAAAAGTTGAAAGCGTAATGATAGGATTACATTTTTTAAATCAGTAGACATATCCAAGGATCTTGCCAGCAACGTGCTTGCGACGGGCCTCTTCGTGGTCCATGATACCAGCAGATGTTGTCTAGAAAGCAGCGTAGATGAATTAGAACAAGAACTGATGTTTTCCAAGAAAAAAAGAAAAAAAAGGCTATAGCCATGACATACCAGGAGAATGATACCGAAAGAACGAGATGGCATGAGTCTGGTGACCCAGTTCTCAACTTGGTCGAGTTGAATGTTGAATCGGGGAGAAACAACACCGCACTTGTTGATCCGGCCGTTGAGCTGAATGACAATCTTGCCGGCACGGTGGTCGTCAATGTACTCAAATTCATCAATGTAACCTGCACCAGGATAAACTGATGAGTACGCTGAAAGATGAGAGAGTTGGAGCACGGCAATGGAAAAACCAACCGTGTTTTTGCATCACCATCAAGAACCGGATGATAACCTTGGAGCTGGGTCGGATCAGCACTTGTCGCTTTCCCCGACGCTCGGCGTTGAGGATGTTGTTGAGGCAGTCGTTCTGTTGAAAATCACGTGGTATCAGCAGGCCATTAAATGTAATTAAATAAATAAAAACACCAGGGCCAACGCCGTGAGTTTGAGTTTGATTGGAGAAACTGACCAAAACTGAGACTCGCATCTTGAAAGGCTATTGAACAGAATTAGGCCTTGCATGATGAAGTGAAGAACGCAGGAGGAAGGTCGTCAGCTGGGAGTGACTGGAGCAAAGGGCGTGTGCGTTATGAGCATGCACCTTTGCTTTGGAATTCTCAGTCGGATGTTTCCTGACAAGCGTCGTTCGGTGAGGTTGGCTTGAGGATGTCGACTCCTTCCACTGCTCCACCAAGCCGGGAGGGAAGTCAGCGATGGTGCTTGTGCTGCGCCGCGGGACCGAAACCTAGATAGGTTAAGGCACTCTACCGTTTCACTCACCTACCACCCACTTCACCCGCCATCTAACTCCATCACGACGACCCTCAACCCTTCCTCAAGACAACTATCTTATCAAAATGGTGTGTTATTCAAACTGTCTCCGACCACCTCAACTCACTACTTGCACTCCGGTTGTTTCTCGACAAATTATATAATTCCTTCCAAAACTACGCCCATGACGGTGACTGTCAACTAAACGAGATACTCTTTTTTTGGCTGCTACTTAAGGGTCGAGTGCGCACCAAGACCGTCAAAAGGGCTTCCCGAGTCATCATCGAGAAGTACTACCCCCGACTCGTGACTGACTTCCATGTTAACAAGCGGGTGTAAGTATCAAAATGCTCTGGCCTCACGCAAACTCAGGACTGATTTCTTTCGCATCTCGATACTCTCCTTCTCATCTCTAGCTGTGATGAGGTCGCCATTATCCCTTCGAAGCGACTGCGTAACAAGATTGCCGGATTCACTACCCACTTGATGAAGCGTATCCAGCTTGGACCTGTCCGTGGTATCTCCTTCAAACTTCAAGAAGAGGAGCGGGAACGCAAAGACAACTACGTTCCCGAGGTATCTGCTCTCGACACCACCGCCACTGGTCTCGATGTCGACCCCGACACCAAGGTGCCTCTCCTATCCATTTTCGACCTCCAGCTTTCCTCCCTCATTCAAAGTTCACTGACGGATATCCTCCTCTGTTTTTTTATTGTAGGACATGCTCCGAACTATGGGGTTCGACAAGCTACCGGTCAACGTCCAGGCAACCTCAGCCCAAGTTTTCGCCGATCGAAGGGGGGCTGGTGGTGAGCGTGGTGACCGACGGGGAAAACCTGTTGTTGGAATGGCTGGTGCTCGACGAGAATAAACTTTTTCGCCTCCCTCTATTGCCACTCGGGCCTACGTGCCCTTATGCCCCTACTCGCCCTTGTCATCCCATGCAGCCATACGACTTTTTCTTAATATCTTATGTAAGCTCCCATGGGTTTGTAGAGTGCTTGGCCAATTGGACTTTGCCGCTTCTGGGCTGGGTTCCATCCTCGAGAGTTTTTTCTATACCATTAGTCGTTGTATGTCTAGGTACGCAACTCCCAGCCGTGATGAGTACGCTCCCAGCATCATTCGATTCTTCCACATTATGATGTCCTCTGGTTTACTGTACGCACTGAGGGTGGACTCTCCATCTCCCCAAATCACGGTGGGCCGTCAATAGACTCTGCTTTCCCACATCAACCCTACAGGTGTCATCACTCGCGGAAGTGTTGGCTCATTCGACTACGCTTTGCACTTCATCTGCGCATAAAATTGGTCATATCCTGTCCCGTTACTCTCTTTGGAACAAACAGTTCGTCGGCCTGGAGAAACAAAACCTGGTACTCGATAAATGGTCTGACAGAGAGCAGCAATTATCAGTTGCCATGATCTCACTCAGTCTACGTGATGGCTGTCCCCTTACATTCCTCTAAGGCCAGACTCTGAGAACTAATCTGGAGCCTGTTGTCCCCGGTGACGCTTTCAGCTCATATAGGGCCTTGCTTGATGTTTATCTAAGGCAAAATTGCTCAAAATTGTTCTGGAGAAGGTTGTGTAGGTCAAGAACCATACTAATTTCAAAACGCTCTCGATCACGACATGATAGATAGAGAGAGAGTGTGTGTGTGTGTGTGATCTGAAAAAAAGGATGGTGACAATTGAGTGTGAGCTATGTAAGTATTCGTGACCGAATTTTTTTGAGGAAATTTTGACTTTCTTATTTAACTTGTGTTGCCATATGGTGTTTTTTTTTTACCATTATCGTACAGTAGTAGTGTACTATTACTACTATTACTATTACTACTACTACTACTACTACTATCCCTATCATTATATTTCCCTTTTCCAAAGGTCATTGTCGCCATGTTAAAAATGATGAAAATAATGATAATAATAGTAATAAATCTCTTATGTCTGGTAATGATGAATTTGAATGATTTTATATAAATTATATATATATATCGTACCACCATATCACAAATCATTATCATCAATCATCATATACATATACCTCATAATATCCTAATCTATATTCATATATATATATCAACATATCCATTACACTAGGAGGAAATCATTACGATTCTATTAATAAAAATAAAATAAAGTCATTTTGTGAGTTCAATTTTTTTTTTTTTTTTCAGAAAAAAAAAAAAAAGTTCTAACACCCTGAGATCATCTGAAGAACTCTTTCTGATGTAAAGAATATAAATAAGACTATGTATGACCATTCGAGATAATAAACTTTTGACAATATGAAGGAAGGAGTGATTTAACATTAGTTGAATATTGCTTCACTTTATCAAATCCGTACTCGAAAGCTATATTCTGTGACACTGGTCTGACTATCTACTAGTCCTCATTAACTCCAACAAAGTGCCAGGAGGGGAGGTGTAATGAAAAAAACAACTGTTTATCGTCTCTTAGTCACCTTCGAGAATGTCCTTTCCAGCCTCAGCACACAACCCTTGGCCAAGGTACCATGCTGGCATCTGTGCCAAAGTAAGACCTAGGTTTGGGTTGGCCAACATGTTGCATACAGCTAACACAGCGGGATCATATTGAGCGATCAATCAATCGACCTTCGGAGATCTCTGGGCCTAACATTTTTTCTCACTTAATTCCTGTTCGAGAAACACGGACATTAAATTATAAATTGGTAATCATTATTTACTGATGTATATTCATCCGGTCACTGACGAGGCAAAAAAGATTCAATCAGAAATCAGGCAGATCCATACAAGTCCTTTAAGAGCCTATACACCAAAGAAGCCGGATGACCACCCCTGACATAATCATCCCAAAAAGAAACAATTCCAGTCAACTTGCGCCTCAAGGTCACACCTCTGGGTGTTGAGAAGGAAAAAGGAGAATACTCACAAGTTAGTGATAAACAAGTTCACGAGCTCACTAGGTACTCTATCATAATAAGGATTCAAGACTTCTACTTCACCACATTCAGAACCACCACAAAGGTTTTGATCATCATTTTCATCTAATCTGAGAACTTCCTCTGGACTTTGTAAGTCTGAAATCGTCCAATCTTCTCCTGCACGAACAAATTCAGGTGAGAACTTATACATCCCTCCTACGACTACTACAGGTACTAAATGAGCTTTTGCAGCTCTAGCAAGTCCTAAAGCACCAGCTTTGGCAAGTATCGAACCATCGGCAAAAACTGCATGACAGCCTATAATAACTTTTGTGCAACGTGCCATGAGAGCGTAAGTTGAGGCATCGGAGACAGTCACCGTCGTTATTGGTGGTACAGAGGAAGCAAGTTCAGCAGCAAGTGTTCGACCGGTAAATGTTGGGGCAGTTTCTGCTACGATAACAGTAAAGGTTCGACGACTTTTAGAGGCTGCTTGTAAAAAGCTTTGAACAGTCCTCGAATGGTCCATTGTCATG